AGACCACTGGAGAGGAAACTCGTAGTATGGGAGCTCAGCGAACGCTTCACGGTTGTGCGTAACTTGAAAAGGGAGGTGGGTGAGATGAGAGTTTCCTGAGCATGAAGAGCCGCCAATGAATCCGTTCGCAACGCAATGCGTAGGTTGGTACTTGCTCCATGCAAGGTTTCCTGGACGGTAGGTGGTGAGGTTGTAATTGGTCTTGAATACATCCTGTAGTATATATCGAATCAAAAATGCACTTACGCGGACCTCTCCTGATGCAGAGCCGCCCGATGTATAGAACGCAAGTCCGCTACATAGGTGGAGGTGCAAAGTCAGCGTCGATGTCGCATAGATCTTACACGATGAAAACTTACCTGGGACCTCCCTTTATACACTGATCATCAGCAGGAGGTGTTCCATCGGCGTTAGCCCCGCATTGGTGAATGTAAGGCGCATACCCTGCGTCACTTCCTTTGATATACCGTTCGTCACGAGTACCGTAGGGGAAACTCGCCGCATTTGGCGAGTGACTGACAGTGTGACTGCCAAAATCGATGTACGGGTACCCATCAGGAGCCGTCCGGAACCCGGTGATCTGATAAATGTATGGAATTCCATACTGGAAGTATGCATTCTCGTAGGCATCGGTTATATACTTGGTATGAAGGTTCAAGTTACCAGCAGCACCTCTTTCTTGCGCGGCGGCTGCGATACCCTGGCCGTGGGGGTAAGAGACGTAGGTGTCGATATCCCAGGTGGTGGTGAAAGCGAGCCCTTTGTTGTATGGGACCGTCCATAGGCTGACAAATTGGGGACTAGAAGTGACAATGTTCTTGACGATGCGTGTTCCGATGTCGTATCCGGGGTAGTAATGTCCATCATACCATGGTGAGTAGCCGCCGGCCTCGTTTTGCGCCTGGATGTACAAATAACCGAGATCCATACCGATGCTGTATACATATCCGCTCGCTCCTAAAGGTTGGTTTCTGACAATAGCTGCGCTTGTAGCGGACTTATCTGCACTGTCTACGCCATTGTTTCGAACCTGGTACTTTGCAAGTGTCTGTGAACCTCTAGCAGGCGTATAGCCAACATTGATAAGGCCTTGCTCAGTGTAGTTCTCATAAAAAGGCATGTTGATGTCGTAGTAATCTGTGAAGTCAAAACCTCGGAGAGCCTGTACAGGCGATTCGGTGTTGGTCAACTGCAAAAGCGATCGTGAACCGCTCGTGTCTACAGTAGATGCAGATACCCCTGCAAGAGATTGGAGAGCGGAGGGAACCTTGTTCATGAATATCAATCTGCCACCTCTGGAAACGAAAGAATTCAAAGCCGTGACATCGGCAGAGGTTGGGCTGTAACTCACGCCTGGGGGCGTGTACACTAGCAGAGTCCAGCATTGGGAAGAAATGCTCAGCGATTCAATGACCTTTACTTGTAACCCGATTGTCTTGAGAGATAGCGTCAGAGGAAGCCTGAGATGATGTTATTTGTTGCTCCTAAAACAAGCTAGTTGGAGAAAATGTACCAATTGGGGTCTGATTGATAACTAGGTACAAAGATGTTGAGTGCAGAGTTTGGCCCGGCCGCATGTCTAATGTAGCGCTGTCAGTGACCAACATCACAAGATGAGTTTGCTCTCCTAACCTCGACCTGGAAGGTATAGTAGCAGCCTGACTGTCCTCCGATAGAGCTGCACTTGCCCCTGCGGGCTGTGTAATGGAGTATATATCAGGCGATTGGAAAGCCTGGCATATCTGGAGTAGCCAAAACAGAGGAAGAAGAATCAAGGTGCGCATACTTGATGTTTCCCTTGAGGAGACGAAAAAAAGGCGCAAGAATAGAGAGCGAAGAATGAAGAAGTCAAAAGGGCAGGACCCGACCTTTTGGGCAAGTTGTACGAGAAAAAATCGACCAAAACTTCGGGCATGGATGGCCGAATCAGCCGCGAGCGAAGGCCAACTGGTCGGCTACGCTAGTTTAAGGTACGGACCTGACGGAACGAAGTTTGGGAGGATTTCGTCAAGTCATCCGCTTAAAGCGTTCTAGTAGGCGGCTGACAGCGACTACGGCATGATAGTTCACAGTACCTGCGCTAAGTACGTGTACCTGTGCCTCAAGGCTCGTTTCAGCCACAGGAGCGGAGCCATTAAAAGTGCGCCAAAACGTCACGTTGCAGATGCCAAAGTTGACCTTCGTGGTCCAGATTGAGGGTTTTCAATAAAAGGGAGGGATGGGATTTGGTAGACAGGCGCCACGTGCACGGATAGTGCTTATTAGCACGAGTAGACAGATTCAAGCGTGATCTTCAAATGGCTATGGCTGAAGAAATCAAAGAAGAGCAAAGCTGAGTAGTTTGCAAAGTTCGACCGACTGACGGAAAGTTGTAGCTATTATTAAGATTATCGTCGCGGCTGGCGCTCAAAGGACAGCGGCTCGGCTGGCGCGTGCTTTCTTAGCGCCCGGGGAAAGGGGCTTGAAGACAGCGAGATCTAGACCTTCACGATGCGTCCGTTGGTGTATCGCCCTCTCTTGAAATCCAGACCCAGCGTGTGAAGATGCGCTCATGTACTTAAGGTTGCCAATTAGCCACTGAGAGAGCAGGAGTTCTCCTTCCTACAGACAGTTCATACCAACTCCAACCGACATGGCCACTTCACCACTACCACGAGTAGTAGACTAGCACATAATGTTCTAAATTTTGCCTTTCCCTCCAAAGCATAGAGCAAGACGTGGGTCAGCCTATACGAACTGCCAACATGAGCGAAAGTGGGGCGCAACGAGTGGCCGACTGACATTTTACCCTTCGTTGCCTGGCTGTTGCCTGAAGTAGTCGGTATGCCACCCTGGTGCACGTTGAGTATATATTCATAGTTAAGACTGCATATGAATCCTCAAGAGTAAAGAATCAAGTCCAATTGTGATCATGACGACAACACTACCGTTGAGGCGTTCTAAACGCAAACAGAACGAGCAAGCACAAGCTGCTGCGCTGATCCCGAACACCAGGGACACTGCGCCACCACCCCGGAAGCGCGCCCGTAAAGCCAATATTCCCCTCAATACGGAACCTTGTATCCCGGAGAATGAGCATGCAAAACCCGTACGGCCACAGCAATACGACACCCTGCCTCCCTTCCTTGCGCTTCCCCGAGAACTACGAGATGAGATCTACAAGCACGTTCTGGAACAAGACGAATCATCGACGCTCAAAACTGGGCGCGGCAACAACATCGTTACAAGGTGCGGCCTCGTAGGGGTCAACAACCAGATCTCGGAAGAGTTCCTAGATGCGGTCCTCTTCCACGCTCACGTCATCACGGCTACCATCCGCAATCATAACTTTGCGCATGTCGTCACGTTCCTGAATCGCTTGTCCCAGGCACAGCTAGCGAGGCTTAGCGCTCATGGACCTACTGCGGATGAGGTAGACGACGACAGAAAACCAAAGCGCAAGATCCGAATCATTCTTTCTTATTCAGCAGGCGCAAAAGATAGTCGCGTGCACCTCAATCGCTGGCTGGACAGGTTTGACGCGCCAGACAAACGCGGCAAAGAGATTGAGTTCGAGTATCATAATGACGGGACGTATCGAAATGGTGGCTACAAGCAGAGACCCAGAATACGCGGCAACGCAAGTCAAAGGTGGAATGACGAAGCAGCCAAGATTGGAAGAGGTGCTGCCAGGGGCAAAGCGTGGGGCGGATGGGGTGGTTATGGTGGATACAGAAGTCGTCATTAGTTGTATAGGTGAATATGGCGAAGCATGTCAATGTGGAGATTTGTCCCAAGTATGTCAACGTCAACCTACCACGCTTGACATGTATCCAACTCTTCTAATCGACATTGCGTGAATTGACTATCTACAGCCAAAGAAGGAAATGCTACTAGGCAGAAGTTACGGCTATACCACATGGGAAGGACCACTACCAAGATACTTCTCCACGTGATCGTGTCAACTTGACGTAGGCGTGATAGAAAAACCTCACGTGTACATGTCCAAGATAATCACAATACATACGTAAGACGTTTCTTCCAATACCTCCTAACGGAACACAATAGCTCAAAGAGCCCACCCACTCACGTGACATCTTCCTCCACAATAGCCGCCAAGCCAAACCAAACCTACGCACACATGTGAATATGTAGATGTCATAACCCGTAAATCTCCAACCAAGAAATCCGTCCATATCACAAGAAAGATCGCCCATCGCCCCCCATCCTCCACAAAAAAAAGACCGTCCCCAACGACCGCCAATCAAACCCAGTTATCTCAGCCCCTCTCCGATTGGCCAATGCACAGACTTTCCCAATTAGGACCGAAATCGCAGTCTTGGGTCGAACCCCACACTTTTTCCCGTTCGCCCATTATCTCCAGGTCCTGCGTCCGTTAACGGAACTTGGCGCACGCGCCTAGATTCTGGTACGGGGGAGAGAGAGGGAGGGGGGCATGCAGGGCATCCTTTCCATGGAAATGAGGACATGAGGGGAATTGGGTTTTTATCGGGGTTTATGCCATCCCCCTCCCCCCGAGCTCTTGCCATGCTGATGGAGAGGTGAACAGGGTCAATGCTAGTCCCCTCTTCTTCTTTTCCGGTCGCTGCTGTGAGTGAGAGAGTGGGCTGGGAGTTTGGGACACCTTTCTGCGCCGCTCCCCGAAAAAGCAAAAAAAACACGATCAGGTGAAGAGGATAGTGAAGATAGCAAAGAAGTTTAATTTCTCTCTCATCTAGATAGAAGGCATGGAGGGGAAAAGAGGAAAGCGCTATCAAGAAAAAAAACAAGAGAAATCGCTACGAGAGAATCATTAATAAAGGAAGAAGAAAAAAAAGTGTGCCTGTTTGCCATTCCCCCTTCAAGATAAACAAGTACGAGTTCTAAGCCTCTAGTACTTTCAGCGCCCCCAACGCGCCCGCGCCAGAAAACACCCGTATGCCATGCAATTAACCCCAAAGGTAGTTTCGTTCGTTCAATCATCAAGAAAAGTTTTCGTGTCGTCTAAGAATTTTCAACTACTACCAAGCGAGATCGCTCTTCTCATTGTCAGTGCCGCACGAGAGACCCTCGCAGAAATCTTCCATTTCCTTGGTAAGCAGCGATCCAGCCTCGGAGTCGAGCTGCTGCTTGGCAGGCCAAATCTTGTGACCGGCCTTCTTCTCGCGCATGCCGTGTTCCATGACGATTTCGCGGCAGCGCTTCTGGAAGAAGAGGGGGCCCTTCTCCATGCGGGGGTGCAGCTCGCCGTTGATGAAGATGCCGGCTTCGATGTTCTTTTGCGCACGCTCGCAGAGCACTTTGTCTTCGCCCATGACGCGCTTGTACGTGTCGCTGATGAGGAGGAAGTCTTCTTGCGACGAGTGCTTGTTGCGCCAGACTTCGTAGTACATGACGGACTCGGTGGGGGACTTGGGCATGAATTTTTGCATGAAGAGGAAGTGTTGGGTGACAGTGAAGGAGGCGTTGGGGAAGCAGTATGTGGAGCAGATCTCTTGTCCGAGATCCTTGCGGTATTGTGGGGTTTTGGGGTCGTGCTGGATGTGGTCGGCTTTGCAGTAGACATCGTAGCTCTCGAGATCGACGAGTCCGGTGGTTAGGTCGGGGTGGGTACTCTTGCAGTGGTAGCACTCGTTGAAGTTGTCTGCGAGAATCTTCCAGTTGAAGGGACCTTCGAGGTTCCATGTGTGGTCGAACTCGTAGTCGTCAAAATTGAACTGATCGAAGCGGGTTTGCTCGTCGACATGGTCGAATTGTGATTCCCATGATACCTCTGGCACCTTCTTTGAGTCCATGTTGATCCAGACGAAACCGTTGCGGTCAATGCGTGTGTGGATAGGGAATAGGCCGTTCTTAGCCTTGTCGAAGTTCTGAAGCTCCTGGTAGCCGGGAGCCTTGGCCAGATTGCCGTTCAGGCCGTACGACCAGCCGTGGTATTTGCAAGAGAAGATCTTTGCGTTGCCTCCGTCCTTTTCGACAACAGGGTATGCGCGGTGTCTGCACACATTGTGGAATGCATTAATCTCGCCTGATCGGTCTTTGGAGACGACAACGTCGTAGTTGGCAATGTTGTAGCGAAGGAAGTCGCCGGGGTTGGCGAGTCTTGACTTGTGGGTGAGGATAAGCCATCTCCTTGTGAAGATGGCGCGCCTCTCAAGCTGATACATCTCTTCTGAAGTGTACCAATTTGCAGGAAGGGCCCGTACGGGCTCATTCTCGGGCTGGGTCTGGGCGGCTGCGCCGCCAAAGCCTAGGTAGCTCAGGAGTCCCCCGACCATGTTGGGATACTGTGTTGGTGGATAAGATGTTGCGGATATCTGGCAGTGCTTTCAAAGGAAGTGAAGGACAGTGATGTCTGAGAACTGGTCAAGTCTGCTGAAGAAGATGAAGGTCAACCTGATGGATGTTTGCAGTATTATTATACTTTCTGTCTAAACTCACTATCTCCTCAAACGCATCAACTGAAACCATATACTAAGTCCGTATGGGGTTATAGCTTCCATTCGCTCCCGAGAGGCGATAGCCAGTGGGGTGAGTGGACGTAATCAGACTGCAGGTGACCCTCAGGCGCCACGCTGGTAGATGATTTACCAGCCATCTCCGCAACCGCACCATCCGCCATCGTGATCATTCTACTATTCTAGACAGTGGGCTAGAACTCTGCTTGCCCTTGCTAGTGGACAACGGTGTATTACCCCAGGATAATCTGCATTGACGACGCATGACAAGATCATGGTGACAAAATGCAGAGGCCGTTCTCGTCTGTGCCCCTCTTGTTGGCACGGGCTTGGATGGATCTGATTTCCAAAAGCGGACATCAGACGCCAGCCCAAAGCTTGACCGTTGAGCCAACACCATAATTGCCGGAGCTATTGCGGCGACACTTCCTAATGGTTATCGCACTCTTATCGAAAAGTTCGCTGAGGTTGGAAGTCCGATATGCAGTTCGTTAGATAGGCCGGCTGTGGTGATGAGGTAGTCAAGTCGACGCCTATCGCAACAGATAGCGGTATCAGGAGGGAAGTCGGCGGACGCCCAACCTGAGACAAACGGACGCCAATCCTCAGTGAATAATGACCACTCAGATGATGTGGTGTGTGTTGTCGGTGAGCCAAAAAAGATAGGCGAAGCGCTTAGTAGGTGTGAATAATGAGGCGTGACTCGCCTAGAAAAACGCTATGTGCTCGAATCGAGAGCCAGCGCAACAAGCAATGTGATGTTACCCCTCATCGCCTTTTGCGTGGAAGTTTCCGGAGGCTTTGAGTGTTTTCGGCAACCGTAGTCGTGAGCTTGCTGTACAGGTGCAGACAGCACAGTGACATGTCACGTCTCGTCATCTCCACCTAATAGGCGTCGAGATGGTCTGCAAGCTGAATTACGGGGATTCCGCAGTTCCAGTGTGTCCTAGGGATTATTTAAGGTGCTTCTTCGCACTCAAGGCAATTGGGGGACAGAGCCGTGAGCTCGATATGGGCTTGCTCCAGACGGGGAGAGTGCGTTACAGGCCATGGCAACGACTCGTTTGTTCTATGGGCTTTGCACACTGCTTCGTCTTGGCCAGGATGCGTTGCAAGGGCTGTTCAGGGCGGATTGGCGCTCTCGAACAGCACCCCGTGCGAATGGGTATCTGAGAGAAGTGTTGTCGCTAGGCTGTTGATGGGATGGTAGGGTGTCCGGGCTTGTCGCAGTGGATGGGTGGAATGCATCTTTGTAAGGCTTGATGGCGTACAATCACTCTCAATGCTTACAGCAAGTGATTGTTTGGGTTCGAATAGTTGGATTGCAGCAGGTTCCATTCGTTGTCACTGCTCGACAGGACAAATGGGGCGAGAAGTCTCGCCGGGGGAAGAGCATACTAAGCTCAACATACTATGATGACTTACCTGGCGTGGTAACAGACGGAAGTGCAGCAGCGTGTCGAGTGAAGGAAGAGTCGGATGGTGTTGCGCACGCGCGAGGCGGGGGTTGCTGCAAGCTATGTAGTGTCGTGACGGCTTTCCTCTTCCTGCCCGGCACATGTTGCACTAGGCCCAGTATGGACATCAGGACCCTACATCCACGACTGGCATCTTCCCCACCAATGTCGTCAGGTCCGCATGCGGGGCGACGGATGGATTGGATCCAGCACTTACCGCTCGAATCATCACGCGAGATGTTTTTCCAATTGAAGTTCTGGATCACGCTTAGTCTCGGCTTCTGTGATGGGGAAGCATTGCAGCTTGGTCCGTTATCGCCAGCATGAGTAGTCTTAAGAGAGCAGTGCCTCCTGCGGCTCTTAGAAGCCAGTCAATCATCCATTTTCCTCTGTTCTTTTCGCAATGGCGACTTCTCAGCGTGTTGTCATTATCGGCGCCGGAATCGTCGGCACCAATCTGGCCGATGAGCTGGTTTCAAGAGGATGGAAGGACATCACAGTTGTTGAGCAGGGTCCTTTGAGTATGCCGGGTGGTTCTACATCACATGCCCCCGGCCTGGTCTTCCAAACAAACCCTTCGAAAACAATGACGTTGCTCGCAAAATACACTGTCGAAAAGCTGTCAGCCCTGGAGAAGGATGGACAGAACTGCTTCAACCAATTGGGTGGCTTGGAAGTTGCGACTACACCGGAGCGTTTGGAAGAGCTCAAGCGCAAGCATGGATATGCACAGTCTTGGGGCATAGAGGCCCGCTTGATCACTCCTGAAGAGTGCCTTGAGAAGTACCCTCTCCTGAACAAGGACATCGTCCTTGGAGGTCTACACATCCCAAGCGACGGCCTCGCATTGGCAGCTCGCGCAACACAAATTCTCATCGAGAACACACGCAACGCCGGCGTAAAGTATCTCGAACATACTCTCGTTACTGGTATTGAGCAAGCAAACGGCCAAGTAACCGGCGTCACAACAAACAACGGTTCAATCCCAGCGGACATAGTCGTTTCATGCGCAGGATTTTGGGGCGTAGAGATTGGCGCTATGATCGGTCTCAAGGTTCCGCTCCTTCCGCTCGGTCACCAGTACGCAAAGACGACACCCGTTCCCGGTCTCCAAAACCGTGAAGTTAACGGAAAGATCAATGCTATGAACGCCGAATACCCGATCCTGCGACACCAAGATCAGGACTTATACTATCGAGAGCATGGAGAGCAATTTGGCATTGGTTACTACGGCCATCGCCCAATGCCTGTCAAAGCTTCTGAGTTGGGTGTCACTCCCAAGCATGTCGATGAGAAGAGTATGCCATCTCGATTAGACTTCACACCCGAAGACTTTGAGCCAGCTTGGCAAGCCACCAAAGAACTACTTCCCGCTCTGCGCCAGACTGAGATTGTAGACGGTTTCAACGGAATCTTCTCTTTCACACCTGACGGCGGATCCGTGGTTGGACAAGCTCCTAACCTCGACAATTTCTGGGTAGCTGAGGCGGTTTGGGTCACCCACTCAGCCGGTGTGGCTCGGGCTGTTGCAGAGACGTTGACAGAGGGCCGATCGACTGTCGACATCTCCGAGTGTGAGCTAACACGATTTGAAGAAGTCCAACTGAGCCCAGAGTACGTCAGCGAAACTTCGCAGCAGAACTTTGTTGAGATCTACGACATCATCCACCCTCTCGCACCTAAGGAAAGCCCCCGAAACCTCCGAGTTAGCCCTTTCTACGCCCGACAGAAGGAACAGGGCGCGTTCTTCCTCGAAGTTGGAGGATGGGAACGTCCACACTGGTATGAGGCAAACGCTGGATTGGTACAAACTTTGCCAGACGAGTGGAAACCAGTCGACCGTGACGCCTGGTCATCCAAGTTCTATTCGCCCATTGCTGCCGCTGAAGCGTGGAAGACACGAAATGCTGTAGCATTATACGACATGACTACCTTTCACCGTTTCGAGGTATCTGGACCTGGTGCAGTTCACCTGCTTCAGAGACTTACAACTAGCGACGTCTCTGCAAAGCCTGGAAGTATCGTTCATACCTTGCTCGTCAACGCTCATGGCGGTGTCTTGAGCGACCTTTTCGTATCCAGGATCGAAGAAGATCTGTTCCAGGTGGGCGCCAACACTGCAACCGACCTTGCATACCTCATCCGTGAGGGCCGCCATCAGGAAAAGCACACACCCGGTAAATGGATTCAAGTGCGAGACATTACAGGCAGCACTTGTTGTCTTGGTCTTTGGGGCCCTAGGGCTCGGGATGTCATCCAAACAGTCAGCTCAGATGACTTCAGCAACAAGGGACTACCTTACATGGGTGTCAAGAAGACCAGCATAGCAGGCATTCCTGTCACTATGTTCAGGAAGTCTTTTGTAGGAGAGTATGGATGGGAGATCCAGACTACGCCTGACTTTGGTCTGCGACTTTGGGATCTGTTATGGCAGGCAGGGAGACCTCATGGACTCATCGCTGCTGGCCGCGCAGCGTTCAATGGTCTACGAATAGAAAAGGGCATCCGAGCGTCAGGATCCGATATGAATTCTGAGCACAACCCTTGGGAAGCTGGAGTAACATATGCGATCCAACTGGATAAGAAGGCAGAATACGTTGGTAAATCTGCTTTGGAGAAGCTTTCGAAGAAGGTTGCTCCTCGCCGGCTCAGGTGTCTCACCGTCGATGACGGTCGATCAATGGTGCTGGGCAAAGAGCCAGTCTTTGTCAAGGGCCAAAGAGCTGGCTATGTCACTAGTGCAGCTTTCGGTTACACTGTCAGGAAGCCTGTGGCATATGCATGGCTTCCAAGCAACATTAGTGAAGGGGCGTCAGTGGAGATCGAGTACTTTGGCAAGAAGATCAAGGCCACAGTGACTCGCGACCCTCTGCACGATCCACAAGAGCGCCGTCTGCGTGGTGAAGGATCAACTGCTCAGCCAGAGCTACAGAAGAGGCTGAAGTCGCTCCTATGATGGAATTTTGTAATGCGGAATGATTTTTACGAATGTATGAGCATGGTTATGGCGTACAATTAGGTTTCTTTTTGAGGCGTAGTAATAGTGTAAATAATGCATGAATGCATGTATCGACTGAAGACCCTTTCGCACCGCGGTGACGTGAGCCAAAGAAACCATATGTGTTTTCCGATTGCTGTGATTGGAGGACTTGATGAGAACCACGAATATGTGTAGTGAGTCTTGGAAACAATATGTAACTTCTAGATATGGACTTCTTTTCACGTGACGTTCTTATCGATAGAGAGTAAACACGTCATTACACTTCCAATTGCATGGCTCCTACATTCCACCAATCTCCCTTACTATCGTCCTTATGAGCTTTCTCGCCGCTTCAATCAAGCGTAGTTCTTTATTATCAATTGTTCGACCCATTGCGAAAGTAAATAGACTCATCAGTTTCCATTGGTTGATGTGAAGGCTAACGCCAAGTAGCGTTCATCCGTACCCGCCCGCGACATGCATATTCAATCGATTCCCATGTGTAAGAGCACCTTGATGGAAAGCTTCATCAGTCACTTTGCTGACATATCTTTTAGGGGAGGGCACGGGCAACAACTATGCCTATCTAGTGTCCGATGATAAGACCAAGGAGGCTGTGATCATCGATCCGGCAAACCCCTCAGAGTATGCTTAACAGGAACAATCGGGATCGTTGACCTTTCTAACTATAACACAGGGTACTACCTGTTTTGAAAGAGCAAACCACTACTGGAGGTCTCAAATTGACAAAGATTATCAACACCCACCAGTAAGTCTTCCTTTTTGTTGGACTGAACCGTACTGATCTTTTTCAAAAGTCACCATGATCATGCCGGAGGCAACACTGAAATCGTGAGATTCAATGAACGCAATCTATTCTGGATTGATAACTCTGACTCGCATCTCAGCTCAAAGCTTTCAACCTTCCAATAATTGGCGGACGTGACTGCGAAAAAGTCTCAACTACGCCTGCCCACAATGACACCTTCAACATCGGCTCCATCAATGTGAAGGCACTCCACACGCCATGCCACACCCAAGACAGTATTTGCTTCTTCTTCGAAGACGGCAACGACCGTGTCGTCTTCACAGGAGACACATTGTTCATCGGCGGATGCGGCCGCTTCTTCGAAGGAAACCCCGAGCAAATGCACAAAGCCTTGAACGAAACACTTGCCACCCTCCCAGACGACACCAAGGTCTTCCCTGGACACGAGTACACAAAGGGTAATGTAAAATTCGCCAAGACCGTGCTTAACAACGATGCGATCAAGAAGCTCGACACCTTTTCGCAAGAGAACAAGCAGACGCAGGGCAAATTCACGATTGGCGATGAGAAACAGCACAATGTCTTCATGCGTGTTACGGATCCGGAGCTTCAGAAGGTTACTGGTAAGACGGCGCCGATTGATGTCATGGGGGCGCTGCGGGCGATGAAGGATAAGTCGTAGTGACCTAGCAGGGACGAGCAGACAATATGTTTGTTTAAGTCTTCAGTATATATGCACACTACGAAGTAAATAAATTTCAGAAGAGAGATGCAGATGTGTAAGAGTGCGAGGGTGATGGTTGTGTTTGACTGATCTATGATATGCATTTCCTACTCCCAGTATCACCCAGAGGACTTGCATGCAAATACGAGTTGAAATGCTAAAGGCGTAAACACATTTCACGCGGAATCGAGCAGCAAGCCATAATTTGAAATTGCAGTCAAGAAGGACCCCCATCTATCTACCGTCTTAATTCAGCTTGGCAGAAAAAAGCCAGCTTCTCTATAACACTAGAAGAAACTCCACATTTGGCTTATTTCCCGAGACGAAAGAAAAAGATATATATCCAAGCAAGCCCTTTCTTTCTAACCAAGACCCTTCTACCACCCAGTAGCCTGACGTATGCCCTTCTTGGAAGGCGTAATTTCCTGCTCTTCAGTTCCTGAAACACCGGGTGTTAGTACTTGGCTTCTCGAAAAATTGTACTCTCGAATAACAAAAAAGAAGTAACGCTGGGCGGGAGTTTATATGTTCGTACTCAGGCGGTGGACGACGGGGACCGAGCTGGGCGGCAAGCTCCCGTATTCGGTGATAACCATGTTGATGTACTGTGCGGGAGTAACGTCGTAGAGAACCTGGAGGTGATGCAGGTTTTTTGCTTCTTCGATCCATTTCAGGACGTCGGTCGTGTCAGCGGGCGCGTCTTCGGCGCCCGTTTTGTCGTCACTTTTGGAGGTGGGAAGACGAGATTTGAGGGGGAGGAGAGCGCGACGCTCGGCTTCGGAGAGCATTTCTTCGGCGGGGGCGACTTCGTTTCCTACAATGGAGTCGAGTGCGACTTTCTCTGTGAATTTGACAGATTGGCAGAGGACGATGACGGGGATGGAGTGCGAGTAGGCGAGCATGGAAATTAGGGCGGTACCAACGCGCGAGTAGAGACGACCGTTGGACATCATGGCATGGGCTCCCAGAAAGACCTTGGTGGCGTCCTTTACGGCGTGTGAGGCTCCAGTGACGAGGTAGTAACGAACAGTGATGCCACGGTTTGCGAGCTTCCGTGCCAATTGCTTGCCTTCGAAGAGTGGCTTCGAATCGACCACAATGACCGTGAACGGGATGCCAGACTCGTGAGCATGTATTATGGTCTGCTCAACAATAGAAGATGCTGCATAAACCAGAATTACGTCGCCTGCTTGGATTTTGGTGGCTGCCAGGTCGCGGATGAGTCTGTCCGCAGCTGTGACACGTTCACGAATGAAGATGTCAATCTCCTCAATAAGATCGCGCTTAGCCTCATTCTCAGGGGTCGATGGATCTATTTTGATGATGACTATGAATGAATCAGCACACTGGGTCCGGACACTCTAGCAGAACACTAGTATGGCAATAGCACTTGGTGTCTCCTATGCTTTTCTGAGTAGAATACAAAGCGTGGACTTACCGTCCTTCAGCCACCTGATGGCGTTTCCCATACTAATGCTGAGAGGTCTACAGCTCTTCAAGAACTCAATCTGGGGACCGAGATGATGGCTGGTAAGATGGCGAGCCAAGCTGTTACCTGGAGGCGTCTGGTAGGCTTCAATGACCGTCTTGAACACTAGAAGCATGGCTACCATGCGCGCTGTACTACCACAGATGGTGTAGCTGCTGTATTGAAGGCCAAGTGCAAGGACCGCCGGATGTACATCTTTTGATGCTCCGACAAGGGACTGCTGCTTGGGTTGGCTGTATAAGTGGCCAAAAAACAAGCCTGTTTGCTTTGAACTCAAGTCTTTCTTCGATTTCTTCTCTGGTTCTTTTGAATTTGGCACATTTTGCTGCGATGGTCGTCGCCGTACTGGGAGAGGCTTTGACTTGTCGTCTTTTGATGTTTGCTTCGAGTCTTTCTGCTGCTTTTGACCATCTTTCGGGGGCCCTTGCTGTTGGTTGGGTGCACCTCCTGCAGCCTTAGCCTGCGCTCTTTTGGCCTGCTTTTCGGCCTGTTTCTGCTTTTTCAATTCTGCTGGCGAGAGTTTCTTAGGACCGTCTGTAGCATCACCATTTACAGCCGCTGGTGCACCCTCGGCAGGTGCTGGTGCAGCTGCAGGGACGGTTGAGTCTGGCGCTGACACCGGCGCGGGCACAGTAGCTGGTTCTTCAGCCATGACGTTGGGCCTCTTGTGTCGTTGCTGCTCTTCGGGTCTGGATGGTGGCCAGTCAGGTGAAAGCCAGCCTTGTGTGGTGGGGGTATGTCTGCGCTCCTGCTCTTGAACTTGGCTCTCCGAGGGTTATCAGACTTTGTGGATAGCTCTGTGGCCCGAAATAGCAAGGTGGAGCCGTAGAATGCGTGGAGTGGTAAGCCTCGCTGGGCAGGCGGAAATTTGATAGAGTCGTGAATTGAGTCAGAAGTTTGGTGACCGGTTCGGGACTAGTGCCCGAACGGAAATGTCCCGCATTCAGCCCCGCAGGTGTTTGTTGCGTCATTGGCCATTCGACCACAAACAAGACCAAGTTTAGGCATCCCCTACACTGATACTACCCTTCCTATCTCCTGTCTATCAGCCCTATACACATAAGAAGCATATCCCCAGACTGCAAGAGTACGTCTTTGCAACAGGCCTCAAAAAGGCCCCGCCATCACCGCCATGGCCGAACGAGTCACATCCATCACGGATCTCCCGCTCGATATCCTCGTACTCGTGTTCCCATACCTAGACGCAAAGAGCTTTCTCAGTCTATGCAGCACATGCAAATCGTTCCAGCAGCCCTCGATACGACTCGACCCCGCCTACTGGAGCTACATCACCCGCACCACTTTCCGCGTACCTAATCAGCCAGTCGTCCAGCATGACGGTGTCCGGTGGCAGAAGATGTACCGCCGGCTGCTCACTCAGAGCCGTGTCTTCACGTGGGGTCAGAATGGACATAACCGTTTGGGGCACGCTTCTCGTCCCGAGCCCACTTTCTTTCCTCACCTGTCCCACATAAGGACAAATCTGATGCGACCAGGCCGCCATGCCAGATACAACTCCAAGGAAGCACATCCGACAGAAATGGATAACACGCGGAATCTGGGCGTTATTGCAGACATGCAGTGCGGGTACGTTTTGTGGCGCTCGTGTTGTCTTGGCTGTGCAAAGTGCTGACACATGCGTTCAGAGGCTGGTCAACAACCCTTCTCACCTCCAAGGGCTCTTTGCATACTGCAGGAGTCCTTGATGGCCAAAGAATCACCTACGGCACCGGCCCCCTCCAAGCCCTCCGTTTTCCAGAAGGTTACCCAACCAATGCTACCCAGGCTCAATACGAAGAGCCGACAGTCGCCATTCGCCAATTCTCCTCAGGTCGAGCACACATACTTGCGCTTTCAGACAGTGGAAGGCTATGGTCATGGTTTGACACAAGAGAGCCCGCTCTGCAAGTCAAGTTTGCGACCCTGCAGATCAACGAGCTCTCCTTGCGTGGGACGTCGAGCACCGAATCTACTTTCGGACAGATTAAACAAGTCGTAGCAGGTTGGAGCCGAAGTTCGGCCCTGGTGAATGGTGTTGGCATAGTCGTATGGGATCCAGTTGAAAGAGATCATGGTGATGGAGGCACAGACACTATGCTCGTTATGGAATATGCAGAAGTCCCGAAGACTGGCTATCAGCGTCTCAAAGGTGCCCGTGAGAGCGATGAGCAGAGAGAATTAAGCGAAGAGGTGGGAGCAGTGATGAATTACATCATGTTGGAGCACTTTGTCGTGTTTACCACGGACGTAGGCAAGGTATTCTGCGGAAGATTTGGAGAAAAGAACGCGATAGACAGGGTCGTTGAGCTACATCAACTACGTCATGAGAAAGGCGCTCCTGTTGATGTTCAGGGCTCTTTCCGCAGCTTCGCTATTTTCAAGGACGGTGAGGTAATAATCAGCGATCAGAACTACCTCGAATCATGCATACATCATCTACACGAGAATCCAGAGCAGAAAGACCTACCGGGGTTGAAAAAGATACCTGCTCTGCAGCACAACGATGTTATCTCGGTCGCCTTTGGCGATTATCACTACCTTGCGCTCCACGCAAATGGCAAGATTACATCGTATGGTATGGAGAATACAGGCTGTGGAGCGCTAGGCCTGGGCTCCAACGATGACAGTGCAGTCGGAAAGGCTCGCGGTATTGCGTACGACAGGTTCAATGCCAATGGGCGCTTGCTGCCGCATGCCTACACATCCGGTCGCCAGGTCTGGTTCGATGCAAGGAAGAATGAATGGCTTGCACAAACTGTGCATGATGCTGCACACGCTCAAGAAAGCGAAGAACGCAGACAAATGTGGACTGATGATGCCAACGTACAGGGTGAAGTCAGTGAGTGGTTTGAACAAGAAGCCAAAGCCTGGGATCAAGATGGCGGCGAAGATGGCCTCGGTGCGCACTTCGTTCTGCGGGTCAGTGCTGCAGGCTGGCATTCCGGTGCTCTAGTCCTAGTCAATGAGGAGTTGGCCCAAAAAGAGCCTACCTATAACCGCGAGGCGAGACCATTCCCAAGACTCAGGCTTTCTGATGGCAGGGAGATGCCAGGAGAAAAAGACTTTGATGAATGGAGGGAGGGCCAACCGGTCTTTCAGCTTGATACTCAGTTTTGAGCGTTTTGCAGGAGGTCTGCCGATGTATCAAAGACGGCTGTTGTGCGGGCATACTCTCCTACATCTAGAAATGGTTATGTGATAATCTTGATTGATCTCTTGAGGGCCCCCCATTCATGCGCTACGGCCAATAACATTGAGCCTGGTATCATATATTTTCTCAGAATTATTGCGGGCAGTTTCTAAGAACGATATATACTCTAAATTCGTGAACCCATGGATACCACACACTAAGAAACTAAGAGGTTATGCATACTTCAATGTCCCAGTTTCCTCTCCCGTGGATGAAGAGGCACCAAAGACCAAATTTACGAGCTAGACGCACACACACACATGGAAGAGATAGCAGTAAAAAGGGCACAGCACGTTCGCTAAGCAAAGAGAAATGAGGCTGCAATACGAGACGTGGGCGGGGCATTCTTGCTCAGCCACTCTGCATGTTATAGCCGACTGAATCTCACGAGATCCTTAGGCAACGTCGCGCCATGTTCACTGCTACACCTGCCCTTCGACAAAGTATATTACTGCATCTTCCGACATGGTTTCCACGACTTCCAGAGAATTATGCTCAATATGCAAGGGCATACTAGATATAATACGGGTAACTGGATGGTACAAAAACCTTGCATATCACGGATCACTATCATCTTTGAGAAGCTCCGCTAAAACCGCTTGTTGTATATGTGTGCTTGTGCTTAGTCGGCTATACAACAGGGATTCAGACTCTTCTGATCCTCCGGAAGCGTTATTCCCCATTGACTGCGACTCAGACACATCCTCAGCAAGCTGGCAACACTCATTCTATTTGACCTTGCGATCACAGACCGCAGCGAGCTTTAAACTGCGGTTTTACTTCGAAACTATTGAGAACCCTTCAGGTCAGTTGGCTAGATCTTCTGATTTTCGTATAAATCAAAGCTGATGTTTTCTCAAAGGCGGGTATGCCCATTATCGGCCTTCTGTATCTACAGACTCTCCAGAGACTTGGAGTCTGATTGAATATTGGGTGAGAGATTGTACCCAGAACCATCCCTGATGCAATACTTCTCCTCCGGAGCAATGGGCACCCACGCGATTGCTTGATGTCGGCACCTTTGAAAAAGACGTCGTTCGATTGGTAAATGGAAAAGATATTGATCAGTCTAAACAAAACTACGCCACACTCTCTCACTGCTGGGGTATAGCTGCACAATTACCTCGAACAACTAGAAGCAATATCAAGGAACTCAAGCAACTCATTCCCTATCAGCAATTTCCAAAGACATTTCGAGATGCAATCAAGATCGCCCGAAAGTTCCACTTGCGCTATCTTTGGATTGATTCCTTATGCATAGTTCAAGACGATGCCGAAGATTGGATGCGTGAAGCTGCTTCCATGAGCAATGTATACTGGTATTCCTTCATTAACATAGCTGCTACAGGCGCGAGCGATAGTTCTCAGGGATGCTTTTGGGAGAGAAATCCGCAGGAGGTAGTACCGACGGAAGTTGATATTTGTTGGTCGAATCACCGAGGAAAAAAATCCAGGTATCTCTTTGTACCAGCACCTAGCCTCTGGGCCAGAAAGCTCACGGAAGAGCCACTGAATAGACGCGCATGGGTACTACAAGAACGAATCCTTTCACTCCGCGTTTTACATTTTGGGCATGAGCAGGTTTTTTGGGAATGTCGAGAGTTAGCCGCATGCGAAACCTACCATGACAGACTACCCGCTGCTTTGTGTGGGGATCCACTCATCGGCATCAAGAGATTACAGCTTGGAGATGAGACCAAGGGCGAACGCTGGCCCGCAAAGTATACCTCAGAAGCCCCAAAACATGAAACGATGATGAGAAGAATACAGAATAGCCTCATGACAATATTCCGACCTATCATTGTTCAAGAAGTTACTCTCCATGCCCAAATGAAGAGCTCATCGGAATTTCGAGATTGGGATGCAGTTGTGGAACTGTACTCAATGTCAAGTCTCAGCTTCCCCAAAGACAAGCTCATCGCACTGGCAGGTATTGCAAGTAGCATATCAATTTCCAGTTCAGGCGAACCTGGAGATGGATATCTTGCAGGTATGTGGCAATCGTCACTGCCGGTCTATCTTTTATGGAAACCTAGGGTAACCGAGACCCCTCAAGGAGGGTTCTCATATAAATGGCTAGGCTATCCGAAAAGGTACGAAGAATACGTAGCTCCGACATGGTCCTGGGCCTCCATCCAAGGCAAAATATCGTTTGCGTGGTGCCAGCATAACTACGATCCGAACGACTACCTGGTAACACTTGAAGAAGCAAGCGTGTCTTGTGATGGTGTCTATCGCTTTGGTCGGGTCAATTCTGGATTTATAAGACTCGTTGGACCAGTCACGTCAACTCTCTGGATTACTGAGAATCCTTTCCCTTCCGCCAAACCCAAGGCCGCGAGGATCACGCATATCTTTCCACCTCACTTGAATCGCAGCGTTTCTGTTTCCGTCCCTCCAGACTCTAACACGGAGCAAGAGATCTTCTTTGATACAGCCATGGAAAACATACCAGAGCAGCTCACATTATTGCCCATTATAGGAACCACTAAGAGAACGGCACATGAGAATGAAGCGGTCATTGGTCTAGTGCTAGACTCGTCAGCTGGAGAAAACAGGTTTCAACGCATCGGTTTCTTCTACACTACAAGGACGCAAGTTAGGAGAATCCTCAGGAACATGCCGCGAAAGCCGATTGTGATAGTCTGAAAACAAGGGGCGTAACATTATATCGGGTTCTAGTTTGAATGTTCGAAAACGGCAATGCGCTCTCCAATAGTCTGGTTGTCCATGATCTGCCACCAGAAGATTATCCCAGTGCCAGCCCCCTACCGAGAGTCTAGCCGGCATCCTCGCCATTGACCTAATGCGTACATATCGAGGTGTTTGTGCGCGAGGCGAATCACGTGCTGATGTGGCGTCGGGATCGCCGTGGAGAAGCACGCTACGTCTGAGTTTCAGGTGGACTAATATCAACGACAAGATTGCCTAAGTGAACCGGGCTGTGTATTTGCCATGACCACGAATCACGGTGTTTTCCGATATAGTACATAGAGTTTCTGCTGTTGAGTTGACTGTGGACTAGCTGAAGGGAGATCTTTCGCCTCATGACAACATCGCCGACACAAACTGCACTCGTCTGCGAGCAGGGTTCCAGAATGCATGCACACTTGTACAAAGGTGTGCATGTCATCTTTGTGGTGTGAGTGGCTGCTGTACTCGGATTGAGACATGGTTGTGACATTTTCAAGACTCCGTGGTTCAACATGACAGAAATCCGGTGGGTGGCTTTCCAAAAGCAAGCAACAAGCACATGGAGATGTGTGTACGCCGCCAATCACTGAACAAATGAGAAATGTCAACGTGTAAATGTAGCTGACCACGTATTATTATTATTATTATTATTCCATTATAGTCCTGTATCAGCCGTTGGCTATGTAGGACTTTGGCCAAAGGCCGTTCTATCTGACTAGTTAC